AGTCGTTGCCCCATGGTAGAATTCCTGAACTTCTGGGTTTTTCTGAAGAAGAGATTCAGAGTCTCTTGCCTGAACGGGCTATAGGACCTGTGCTTCCCTATCTGGGTGAAGCATTTGGATCTCGACCGCGTGGTGATGGTCAGGTGCCAGGTGGTGAGTCCGTTTCTGGGTCTGGTAGACGTCATTCTGCCAGATCTGAGGGGCGACGGTCTGGGAGTTTCAGTTGAGGGGTGAGGACTCGCCCATCCCATCGTCGTGGTTCAAGGTCTTCTGTTCGTACCCACGGACAAAAGGGAGGTTCATATCGCCGCGTTTCGCGGCGTTCCGCTCTCGATATAGGGCGACTTGTTCAACCTTTGTCTTCTATTAACCGCCTCTCACAAAATCGCCCCATAGAGTATTACTATAAGCCTTCCCGTCCGACTATTGATTCCTCTGTTGCTTTGAGCGCTTCGCGGGGCCATATTCCAAACATATCTCAGTCCTTTCATCGCCGTAAATATGACGAATCTACAGACAATCGACTGGGTAGATTTCACCCAGAAGACGGGCGACTTGTGAAGTATGGTGTGTGGGATGCCATACATGAAGACTTGGGGCTTTATAAGATACTACCTGCTTGGTGGCCTTCTTCTTTAAGCTACTCAGATTTTTATTCTTCAAGCTCTTCGGAAACATCAGAATCTGATGGTAAGTTGTTAGTGTTTGAGCTATTTTTTCTTGTAGTAGTTGGTAAGGAGGGTGTTGACGTTCATAGGAGTGAGGGATAGGGTGAGATGGGAACTCTCTTTTCTTTGCAGTGGTATTTTTGACATTTGAGAGGTATTGAGGATTGATTGTGTGTTTGTCGCTCCCAGGTAGGGTTTGAAGGTACTTTCTTGACTTATGGCGACTAACCGGTCGGTCGACTGTCTTGAGGCGAGGAATTGGGTTGACCTGGCGGTAGGTAATGCGTCATCGAGTTATGCTGACCATGATTCTTTGTGTTGCCTCTACCAATCTGAATCTAGCTTTGTCATCACTGCAAATGGTGTAGATGAGGAGAAGTGGCAACCCTTCGCGGTCAGTAGCGATCGTCGGGCTTGTGACAAACCTCAAACTGCGGCGAGATCTCGGTGGCGGTTCATGGTATATAAGACTCATTTTACGGATCATAAAGTGAGGTTTCCGCTGACTGAATTTGAGATGGGAGTACTCTCCCACTTGCAGGTTGTGCCATCTCAACTACATCCGAACACTTGGGCGTTTGTTCGGGTCTTTGAGAGCATATGCCAATACTTTGACATGACGTACTCCGTATGATTATTCTTTTATTGCTTCCAGGTATCCCCTTCAAAGAAAAAGCTTGGTTGGGTTTCACTAAAGGCGGGAAACACAGTAGGATTGATATTTGCCCAGTACGCCAACTCGTATAAAAACTGGACACGAACTTTTTTCTGGATTGAACCAATGTTGGGCGAGGGGGAACTTCCTTTTTTGTAGATCGGGAGAGCAGGGAGTGCATGTTTCCCTTGTATTGGGCTAGAAACCATTATGAGACGCCCGCTGGTTAGTATTCTACTGCGTTTGGAAATTTGACTCCTGAGGAAGTGATGATGGTTAGTTGGTTTGTTGAAGTAAAGGAAAGCCTTGACCGGTGGCCGTTGAAGCAGGTGTTGTGCCATGGAGGTGTGATGGCGTTCTGATTTTCTTGCGTTTGTGATGACCTTTCTTATTTCTATTGACGCCTGTCTTTACTACTTGATTTCTTCTAACTTTTACTTACTGTTTACAGTTGGGAGTATGGCGACGGATATGTTGAAGCTTGCACGCGAGGCGGCTGCTAAGGTGAAAGCCAGAAAGGGCGCGGTTCCTCAAGCTCCGCCTGTCCCTGTTCCAAAGGATACTGGGAAGGGAAAGGCTCAGGAAAACAAGGTTAAGAAGAATAAGGTTCATTCAGCTGCTGACATTCCTGCGGGCGAACTGCAGAAAAGGATCAATCGTCCTATCATTAGGGATCCCCCGGGCGTGGCTGGTAATTATTTGGCGAGCGAGTCAACGCCGGGATCTGGGTCGTTTGCCCCAGGTGGTTCTGGTGTGAAGCGTGGTGCGGATGCAAGTTTGACACCGCCTTGAGCTTCGAAGTCCACACGCCGCGAACCTTCAGAGGGTGGGCAATTTGATGACCAGCCTCGAATGAGCCCGAGGGTTGAGGGTTCCCCTGCTTTTACTGCTGTATTTCCTGTTGGCAGGGCCCTTACTTTGTCAGAAAGGGACCTTGGTACCGGATTTTCGAACATTGAGCGTCCTGAGATGGTGGCCGCCCCCCCCCCCCCCCCCGGCCTTGATCGTAAGCAGTTGATGGATTGCGCCCAAGTTGTGATTGGTCGCATCTTAGGGATGCAGGAGATCGCTCTTGCGGTCGATGAACAATGTTCCTTGCAAGAGGGTCGCCTTGACGAATTTTGGCGACGGGTGGAGGGCCTTACTGCTGAGGTGGGGCGTCTTGGTAAGGATATTGCTGACAAGAAAACTTCTATCCAGTCATTGTCTGAGCGGCTGGAGAAGGCGAAAGGAGACGCCAAGCAGTTTTCTGATGAGAGAGATGATCAACGTAAGGCATTGGTCAGCATTAAGAGGGAGAAGGAAGCCCTTCAGACTGAGAAGGATCAACTATCTGCCGATTTGTTTGCTGTGCAAGGGAGTCTTCATGCCAAAGATGAGGATTTCAACAAAGTCAAGGGGGAGGTGGAGAAATTGGAGGAGGCTCTGGCTAACCTGATGTATCATTCTTTTAACAACGCCCTACGGCAGGTCGGTGTCAGATATCCTGGGGCTGACTTGACTGGGCTCACTCCCGACTATGAGGTAGAGGATGACAAGATTATACAACGCCTTGACGGTGGCGCCATTAGAGTGGTTGAAGCAGCGCCTGAAACTGATGATGACGAAGGTGCCAGGGGGGTTCTTCCACCCACAGATGCTGACAGTGATGATGATCACGAGAGTGATAATGCTGGGCGTGGCGTGCAAACGGAAACTGTTACTGGGATCTTGGTTGACTCTGGGGTTGCGAGTGGAGGTGGAGTCATTAACGCGGTCGTGTCAGAACAAGCGGAGGATGCTCACGCCGTTGTGGATAGCGGGAATGATCGCGCATTAGATGCCGAAACGGTTGCTGTTAATACAAACTTAGGTTCTTAGCTTTTCTTCACTTTAAGCCTGTGGTTGGCATGTCAACCACGGCTTTGTAACCCTTTCCTTCTTTTGTGTCGATCACGCATCAAATGAATTTCCTTTCCTTTCTTGCTTTATATTCTAAACTTGCATATGGATGTTTATTTAGTCTGGTGGCCGTTGACCGTGGATGAGAACCATCTCAGTCCAACTATGGCGGGGGTGAGAACCGTCCCGCATTTGGGCGTTGGCTGGGGGTGGGAACCATCTGAGTCCAACTATGGCGGGGGTGACAACCGTCCCGTAGTTGGGCGTTGGCTGGGGGTGAGAACCATCTCAGTCCAACTGTGGCGGGGGTGAGAACCGTCCCGTAGTTGAGCGTTGGCTGAGGGTGAGAACCATCCCAGTCCAACTGTGGCGGGGGTGAGAACCGTCCCGTAGTTGGGCGTTGGGTGGGGGTGAGAACCATCCCAGTCCAACTATGGCGGGGTGAGAACCGTCCCGTAGTTGAGCGTTGGCTGGGGGTGAGAACCATCCCAGTCCAACTATGGCGGGGGTGAGAACCGTCCCGTAGTTGGGCGTTGGCTGGGGGTGAGAACCATCCCAGTCCAACTATGGCGGGGGTGAGAACCGTCCCGTAGTTGGGCGTTGGCTGGGGGTGAGAACCATCCCAGTCCAACTATGGCGGGGGTGAGAACCGTCCCGTAGTTGGGCGTTGGCTGGGGGTGAGAACCATCCCAGTCCGACTATGGCGGGGGTGAGAACCGTCCCGTAGTTGGTCACAATATTTGACAGTGTTAAATTGAATTGGCGATTTTTTATTGAAAGCTCAAAACTCTGCCTCGTTAAAAAATTTTCCCAGCAAAACCCTTTTTGGGATAAAAGCCTAGGAAAGGAAACGAGTGCAGGAGTTGTTACATGATAACTCAACTATAATATTTTTTGAGCTTATCGGTGTTCCAAGCCCTCGGTAGCGCCTTTCCTTCTAGTGTTTCCAGGGAGTAGGCTCCATGACCTAGCTTGTTGATTACCCTGTAAGGTCCTTCCCATGTTGGGGCGAGCTTTCCTTCGCGAGCGTTTTTGTTTCCTACGTCTGCTCTTCGAAGCACCAAATCTTTTTCTTGAAAACTCCGGGGGATGACCTTCTTATTGTAGTAAGTAGCTGATTTTTCTTTTGAATGGAGATCAGACTCAGCGGCAGACCTTCTGAGTTCGTCTAGCAGGTCTAGTGCTTCTTTCAAATTTTGGGTGTTGTCGATCTCGGTTACGTGCTCTCGCCGCCAGGAGGGTTCACCAATTTCTACTGGGATCATGACTTCAGTGTCGTAAGTCAGCCTGAACGGAGTTTCTTTTGTGGATGACTGGGCGGTCGTCCTGTACCCCCATAGGACGTTGTCAAGGTTGTCAATCCAAGCCCCTTTGTGTGCTTCTAGTTTCTTTTTAATTCCTTTCCCCAGCATTTTGTTGGCTGATTCTACCAAACCGTTGGATTGTGGGTGTTCTACGGCAGCAAAGTGGTGTCGTATGTGCAGACTGCTCATTAATTCGCAGAATTTGGCATCGGTGAATTGAGTGTCGTTATCCGTGATGACTTCCCCGGGAATGCCAAAACGGTAAACGATGCTTCTCCAGAAGAACCTTCTTGCTTTTTGAGATGTTATAGTCGCCAAGGGTTCTGCTTCTACCCACTTGGTAAAATAGTCAATAGTGACAATCAGCCATTGAACCTGCCCAGCTGCCATAGGGAAAGAACCCAGAATGTCGATGCCCCACTTGTAGAAGGGCCATGGTGAGGTGATTGATGTTAACTCTTCTGGCGGTGCTCTGTGTATGTCGGCGAACTTCTAACATTTTTCACACTTTTTGACGTGTTCATAGGCGTCACGTTCCATGGTTGGCCAATAAAATCCAGCTCTCAACGCCTTCTTTGCTAGTGAGTGACCGCCCATGTGATGGTCGTTGATTCCTTCATGGATTTCTTCTAACACGTATGGAACATCAGTGGGATTTAAACATTTCAGGAGTGGGGTTGAAAGTCGTTGCTTGTACAACCGCCCTTGTACTATGCAGAAGTGGGCGCTTCTGCGAATTATCTTTCTAGCATCTTTTTGGTCGAGAGGCACGACCCCTTCAGCTAAATAATTGACAATGGGCGTGATCCAGGTTTCTTCAGTGGCTTCAGGGGCTGCCTCTGAGATACTCATGACTATGCATGGGTTTGGCATACTCTGCTGGACTATAGAACGGTTGTTTCCTGGGCTTTTAGTGCTTGCCAGCTTGGAAAGAACGTCCGCCCGGGTGTTTTCAGTACGCCAGATATGTTCTACCTCAACACTTTCAAAACCTCCAATTAGCTCTCTGACTTTTTCTAAGTATTTGCACATCAGTGGTCCTTTGGCTTGGTACTCGCCAGAGATCTGAAATGTCACCAGTTGGGAGTCACTAAAGACTTTGAGGCGTTCGGCCCCCATTTCCTTTGCTTGGATCAGACCAGCTATCATGGCCTCATATTCTGCCTGGTTATTTGTGGTGTTGAAATCAAATGACAAAGAATGTTCGACAGCCACGCCATCCGGATTTTCTATTATCATCCCTGCACCGGAGCCTTTGGCGTTTGACGAGCCATCTACGTATAGTTTCCACACTTCTGATAACGGCGTTATCATGGCTTGGTTCTTGGGCGGGGAAAGTTGTGTCATTTCTGCAATGAAGTTAGTGAGTGCTTGAGCCTTGATGGCGGTTCTAGGCTCATAGGTGATTTGATACTCGGACAGCTCGATCGCCCAAGACATCATCCTTCCAGCCAAGTCAGGTTTGTGCAGGACTTGGCGAATTGGTTGGTTGGTCCTGACGGTGATTGGATGGCACTGGAAGTACGGTCTTAATCGCCGCGCGACAAAGATAAGCGTTAAAGCTACCTTTTCCACCTGTTGGTATCGAAGCTCTGCTCCTTGTAGAACCTTGCTAATGAAATAGACAGGCTTTCGTCCTTCTTTTGATTCTTTGACAAGGGCTGCACTGATCGCCTCGGTACCTACGGCGAGATACAAATACGACATTTCTCCATTGTCTGGTTTGGCAAGTACCGGTGGGCAAGAGAGCGCCATTTTGAATTCCTGGAAGGCGTTCTCACATTCTTCTGACAACCGAAAGGCGACTCCTTTTTGGAGTAGGCTAAAAAGAGGGAGCGACTTGTGAGCCGAATTGGCCAAAAAATGAGTGAGAGCTACTAACCTTCCCGTCAGTTGCTGAACTTCCTTGATTGTTTGCGGGCTTCGCATTTCAATCACCGCTTTTCATTTGTCAGGATTGACCTCAATGCCTCGCTCAGTGAGCATAAAGCCTAGGAATTTGCCTGCGGGAACGCCGAAGGCGCATTTGCTGGGATTCAAGCGCATGTTGAATTTTCTGAGTCTTTCAAATATGTCTTAAAGGTCAATCAAATGTTGTTCCGACGTTCTTGATTTAGCGATCATGTCATCGATGTATACTTCGATGCAATTGCCAATCAGTTCTCTGAATACTTCATTCATCATCCTTTGGTAAGTGGCCCCAGCATTCTCTAGACCGAAGGGCATCATTGTATAACAGTAATTGGCGTTATGAGTGATGAACGTCGTTTTGTCTTGGTCTTCTTCAAGCAGCGGAATCTGATTATAACCAGAATATGCGTCCATGAATGACAGCATTTTGAATACGGATGCGTTGTCGACCAACTGATCAATGCTAGGAAAAGGGTAAGCATCCTTTGGGCAGACTTTGTTTAGGTCGGTGTAGTCAACGCACATTCTACATGCGCTGTTTGGTTTTTTAACCAATACTGGGTTGGATAACCAAGTTGTGTACTTGATTTCCCTGATGAACCCGGCGGCGTGGAGCCTTTTGACTTCTTCATCAATCACCCTCTGGCGGTCGAGACCGAATTTCCTCTTTTTTCTGGGCGACTGGCTTGGCTTTGGGATCCACCGACAAATGGTGGCAGCAAACGTCTGGATTGATACCCGGCATGTCAGAAGGTTTCCATGCGAACAAATCTTTGTTATCTTTGAGCAACTTGCATTTCATTTTGGGGTCGATGGTGGCCCCGATAGTTGTCATTTGATGATCTGCATCGCCTAATACAACATGTTCTAACGCCCCATCAGGCGTGGGTCTGTCATGCTCCACGCGCGGATCATCCCTGGCATCAAATTCTACCAAAAAACATTGGTCACGCTCCTTTGTCTCCTCGCCTGGATTTCTTTCGGCTGGCGATGTCACCCTCTGTTTGGGCGCCATTTCATTATAGAAACTAGCTTTGGCCATTGGCCTCAAGGATATGTTGTAGCAGCTTCGGGCTATCGTCTGATCTCCCCGTACCGTGGCGACTTTGTTATCCCGGGAAACAAACTTCATTGCCAAGTGGGGGTGCGAGATGCTTGCCTCGAAGGCAGCGAACATCCTTCTACCAAGAATGGCGTTATAAGCTGATGGGGTGTCGAGCACCAAAAACTGGATGTCTGCTGATCGTGAGGTGGGCGGCGTTCCAAGGGAAAGTCGCAAGGTAATCACTCCCAGTGGCTTTGTGGTGGTAGCATTGAAACCTGAGAGTTCATCTGTAACAGGAGTTAAACTATTAACAGTAAACCCTAATGCTTTAAAGCATGGTAAAAACAAAATGTCGGCTGAGCTGCCGTGGTCAATAAAAACGCGATTCACGCCCAAGTTGGCGATTATTGCTTGAATGACGAGTGAATCGTCATGTCCTGGGAGGATATCGCCCAAATCGCTGTTGTCCCAAACAATTTGAGGCCTGGTTGGGCCAGGGTTGTTCTTTACTTTGCTAATGACTCTGCCAACAACCGCCAGACACTGCTTCAAGTGTTTCTTTCTGGCGTTCGCCGTTTCTCCTCCTCCGCTCAGTCCGCCTGATATCATGTTTATCACTCCGTTCTTTACCGCGGCTGAGTTTTCTTCCACTTCTTCACGCCTCCCTCTGCGGTTTGGGCTTGCTTGCGCTCTGCGATTCCTGGGGGAATCTTCTCTCCTGTCACGGTTGTAGAAGGGTCTGGAGCCAGATTGATTCGTTCTTCTTCTTTTAGGCGATTTGCTGCGCTCGCGATATCGCCTTCTTGTTCCAGAAGGGCGTGGACCGTCTCCTCCTCGCCTCTGCGCTCCGCTTTTGATGAGTTTATCAATCTCGTCTTTGAGGTGCCTGCATTGCTCAGTGTTATGACCGTTGCTGCGATGGAACTTGCAGTACATGACGTTTTCTTTAGGCGGGTTCTGAGGCTGCGGGGTGCTCTTAGATTCTTCCTTATATTCCGTTTGTAGGACGGCGTGTGTCTGACGACCTGATATGTCGCGCCCAGAAGGGAGGTTTGAATATTTGGCTGGTTTGTTTCCTTTCTTACTTTCTTCCATTTGGTTCTTCTGTTTACTGACCGCCTTTTCTTGACTGTGGGCGTCATCAACTCGGCTTCCTTTGTACTCTTCGATTCGCATGTACTCCTGGGCCACCTTCTTGACTTCTTCCAGGTCAATGATTTCATGGCAGGAAAGTTCGTACGCGAACGCACCCTGTCGCAAGCCCGAAAGAAGTATATGTACCTGTACTTTTGGGTCCATGCCTTGTACCTGCAGGGCCTCTTTATCAAAGCGGTCTAAAAAGGACCTGAGGGACTCGCCCGGCTGTTGGCGTATTTTTTCTAGAGAGTGGACAGATTTTGGCACAGGGCGACTGGTTGCAAAGTGAGACTGAAACTTGCTCGCTAACTCGTCCCATGAAGCGATACTACCAGTCGGTAGGGTGGTGTACCATGTTAAAGCTCGCCCCCCAAGTAGCGTGGGGAAGGTCCTGCACATGAGGAGGTCTGTTTCATCATGGAGAGTCATTGCTGCCTCAAATTTTTGGATCCACTCAAAAGGATCGGCATCTCCGACATATGTGGCGATATTGGAGGGTCCTTTAAAACCAAGGGGTGTGGGAGTTAACCGGAGAATATCATTCAAGGGTTTGTTGCGCCCTGACGTATGAGCTGGCGTGACTCGTATATTGTTGTTTCGGGCGGGCCGGTCTGTTTGTGGTTGAGGGGCTTCAACAGAGTAGGAGAGGTCGGGGCGTGATTGAAAGGCTGTTGGGCGACATATGGTAGTTGACCCTGGTTTTGATAGGACACTTGGTGTAGTGGGATGGCCGGATTCTGGGGTTGGGCAGCGTAACCATGGAAAGGAAAACCAGTTAGGTAATGTTGAGGGAAAGGGGTGTATGGTCCCATAGAGAACGGGGTGACCATCGGCGCTCGGTAATCGTTGTGCATGGCTACTGGTAGACTTTGGGCTGGTAGTGGACGATGGGCTCATGGGATGGGAATGACTGGGGGGCAGTAGTGTGGAAAGGCATTCCAAAACGAACTCCTGGGGGCGGGGGTTGGTCTTGTACCAAGTTTTCCCCTTGCATTTCACGCATAGGTGCGCGATAGTTCAACTGTGCTACTCTGGGTTCAACTGCTTGCATTTGTGGACGGACGGATTGTAATACTGGTTGGAGTATCTCGCCGGGGGGTCTCTCGGCTGGGGCTGAATGCATCGATGGTGGGGAATTTGAATGTATTGTTTGTACATGACCGTAAGGAGTAACGACCCTGGTTTGTTCCGCTCTTCTGGTTGTGACAACCATGTTTGTTACCAAAACGTAAAACACGTCTTGTGGATCTTTGGTAGGAGAATGGGAATAGAAGTTTATAGATTCCCACAGACGGCGCCAATGTACCGATGAGATCTATAAGCCCACTATGTTCCCGATGGGGATGAGTCAATGTATGGATAATACCCTTAGCACTGATACAGACCAGACTAAGAAGTATACAGCCAAGCATAAGCAGTGAATAGATAATAAGAAAAAGGATGATATGACTCAAGTAAATGGGCAATATAACGATACATAAGATACCTGTAAGGTGTGCCCATGGGGGCTATTTATAGGGAAAATGGTGTGGGTTGGTGAGGGGGAGGTCAACTCTCCTTGGGATTTACTCCCATGATGCAGTGTTAGGCGTGCTGGCGCTGTCATTGTGGCAGTGCTGCGCCCTCTGTGTTTTGGCGGTGTCAGCAGCGGGCAAAGGGGGAGTTTCCCTTTGCGGTGTCTGTGGTAGTCGCCCTCGTTGGCTAGCGTTCCAAGATAGGACATTTTGGTGTATGTCTTGGACCTGCTGCTACGTTGGGGGTTTAGGGGGTCCATGTCAGCCCTTAGGGCTGACGCGGGTTCACGCCCAGTATTGGGCCTGGATAGTTGGACCACTTTAGTACTTGGGCCATCCAGAACAGATTCAAATCTCAATACCACCATTATATCCAAAAAATATATGTATAAAAGGCAAAGCTCACTCCACATAACTCCCAACTTGAGGGTAGGGATGAGGTCATTGTATGTAGCCTTATTCTTATATTTTTTTCAAAAAGACTGTTTCTTCGTAACCTTTTAATCACAAAAAACAATCTTAATGTTGCTTCAAGGTATAATCTTGTCTTCTGACGAGAATATGTACACCAGTCTTTTTTTTTTTTTTTATCCAAACTGACTTAATTTAGTTTAAGTTATGTCCGCTTATATTCGGGTTGGGTCTAGTAACACTATTTTCTCCGTTCCTAATTAGTCATTGGTATCTATGTCATTATTCTAACTGTCAACTTAAAGTAGTCTTCGATTACCAAAATTGTTTGTGAATGTAGATGGTCCTGATTGCTGGAAGCCGGAAGAACTCTTAACGATGTGAAAAATTACTGGAATACCTATATTCGAAGGAGGGTATCCTCTCATAAGGAAGATATCATTGCAAAGCATAAGGAAATAGTGAAACCTCATCTTGTGATAATGCCTCAACCTCTAACTTTCTCTAGAACTTCGCCCTGGTTGACAAAGAGATTCGTTAGCGAAGATCAAAGCAAGGCCAAACAGTGCAGTATCCAAGCACATGGACAAAACGACAAGGGAGACAACACCGACAACAAATGCAATAATTGCTGGGAACAGTGGTGGGAAACAATGATGGACAACAAATGAGGGGCTTTCTTCATTTACCGTAGATGCTGAGGACTTTCTTCTAGAAGATCAATGTTGGAGTGATTTTCTTCTTGATATCAATTTGTGGGGTTCATGATTTTAATTATGGGATATTAGTTTCTTATATTATAGGAGAAATTTTTTGTCTTCTGCTGAAAGAAAAAAAATGTGGGATCCATTTAATTAAAAAAAAAATAGCACAACCTTTTATGTGTTTGCTTAAGTCTTAAGAATATGTTTTTCTCGTACACATGAAAAAAAATATCAGTTCGTTTTTTTTTTTTTAAGTTACATTAAAAAAATTTGTCTAATGTTCACCGAAACAACGTCGTTTTGGGGCGAAAATCATAGTGTGTTTGTAATTTTAATCTATTTTAAGATTATAATAGTCTTTATCACTCTAATTTTTTAATCTTTCACTCCAAAAATTATGTCGTTTTGATGAATATTAGATAAAAAATTTTAAAGTAACTTTAGAAATTTTATTCCCATTTATTTTAATTAATAAGTTATTATGAGTGATCTAATAGCAAAGAGTATGACATTTTTACAATAGATCATAAACTTAAACTTCATATGACATGGGCTAAGAGACTGATTGCGATAATTGAATTTGATATTATATTTCAATTCCAAATATTATGACAAAATTTAAATATTTTTCAAGGATATATTATTTCTCATATTGCATGAGATAATTTGTCACAACCAACATATAAAAAATAGGTGGAATTTCACCTATTTTTTTTGTATTAGATGCGACAAATAGTCCATGCAATATGAGAAACGATCCCACCTATGTTTTATGTGTTGCATAACGAACAATATCCCCGTTTTTCAATCATATGATACTCACCTCAACCATTTCTAATTAATATATACTTTTCATTCATAATTAAATTTAATTTCTAACATTATACACTTAAATGTCAAATCAACATTTGTTTCATTATCAATGTAAAAAAATAAATAAATATATTATTATCAAATGACAGGTCGTTCATCATTCAAATCTGCCAATAAAACTTTAATGTTTACAAGTTGCATTTATTTATCCCAGAATGCATAGATGAATTTGTTAGAATCTAAAAATTCGCCTACCTATTCTAGGATAAATGAATGGCAAACGGGAGTACTAAGTTTTTTTCCCCAAATCTTCTCTACTGGTCATGGAGATTCAGGTAATTAAGCCACCAATCAACAGACATAAGTTCATTTTCATCAATTTGACTGGTAGTTGAATTAGTCAATTCTCATGTGGGGCATCTCCGCATGTGCAAATGGAAAACTAGAGTTAAGAAGTTGAAAGTAATGTTATTAAAACTCACTTGGTGATTAATCCGGTCAAGGTACTGGGTCACTGGTTCAACCAGTGGGTCACTGGTTTAACCGTATGACCCGATAATTATATGTAATTTTATAATTTATATTAAAAAAATTATAAACATACTCAAATATCTAAATAAAATTATTAAAAATTTCAAATATTTTAATACAAAAAATAATAAATCACATATTATTATCAAATAAAAGAGCAAACAAAAATATAATGCTCGTCATACGAGGCTTTAGCTTCATAAAACGACATCTCTAACTATAAATTAATTCAAACTTTTATGCATAGTACATAATTGAGATAATATTAGTGTTGTAGGTACATAACTTATGTAAGTCAATAAGCAAAAAAATATTGAAATATGACTATTATGATTTTTTTTGAAAAAAATAAAAATTTGGAATTTTTTTTTTTGAGACTGGGCCGAGTCACCAATTTTTATGAAAACCGACCGAGTCGGACAGGGTCGCACGGTTCTGATGCATGACCGGTCCGTTGCTTCAACCGGACCGATTATATAACCAGTTTACTAGTTTCCGGGTCGACCTGGCTGAGTCAGTCCGATTTTAATAACTATGGTTGAAAGGGTGTTGTTCCCCATAGTGCTTTTTCGTGGCTTCACTTTTGACACTCCCGGCTGACAAGATATTGGGTGGGGTGGAAGAGAGAATGAAAAAGAGATTGATAAAAGAGGGGGGAAAAAAATCATGTATCGCTCTGTTAATAGAAGGATTGTCATGGTCCAGAAACATATTAAAAATTTCCCAACTATTACAGCTTGCACTCATGTGTCAGGTATCAGAACGAGAAAGGAAGAGATGACATTTTCAACAGATTCTTTCTCTTTTTGATTGTTTATTTTATGGGGAAAAGGTTTGCAATTTTTAAAGACATAAATTATGTTATCTTAAATTTTAATATTATATTGCCAATAGTATATAATTATAATATAAAAAAATTCTTTTTCTTCAATCACTTAAACAGACGTTAAAAGAGAAATAAAATAATTTTTTATATTATAACTATATATTACCCATAATATATAGTATTAAAAATTAAAAGGTTAAACTCTTATTTTATTTCAAAACTTGATTATGTTTAATCTATTTTCTTCCTATATGGAATCAAATCAGTTTCGGAGAGGTGAAAGTTGCATTAGATTTAAGTGCCAGCGAGTTTTGCATAGATTGAAAACGAATTAAGTGAGAATGATTATAATTTTTCACAAACTTATTACATTTAGGTTTTGGGTTAAAATATATTTTCTGGCTCATATATTATAAATTATAATTTTTCGCTTATTAACAGTGGTTTTCTTCAATGATGGATTACCTAATACTTGAATTTTTATATATATATATATATATATATATATATATATATATATATATATATATATATATACTAAGATTAAGTTAATTTATAATGTATAGTAATTTTTCATGCTTACAAAATCTGGTCAATTTAACTATTAAATTAAAATATTTTATTAAATAA